TTCTTGGGTGACCGGACAGATCTTGGGGTCCTAGTGGACGATCCCTTAAATAGGAGCCAGCCGTGTGCTGCAGCTGCCAAAAAAGCCAACACAGTGCTGGGCTGCATCAACAGAATGACAGAATCAAGATCAGGTGGAGTGTTAATACCACTTTACAATGCCTTGGTAAGGCCACACTTGGAATACTGCATCCAGTTTTGGTCACCACGGTGTAAAAAAGATGCTGAGACTCTAGAAAGAGTGCAGAGAAGAGCAACAAAGATGATTAGGGGACTGGAGGCTAAAACATATAAGGAACGGTTGCTGGAATTGTGGATGTTCTAGTTTAATGAAGAGAAGGACGAGGGGGGACAGGATAGCAGGGTTGCAGTATCCCAGGGGCTGCCACAAAAGAAGAGGGAGTCAAGCTATTCTCCAAAGTGCCTAAAGGCAGGACAAGAAGCAACGGATGGAAACTCATCAAGGAGAGACGCAACCTAGAACTAAGGAGGAACTTCCTGACAGTTAGAACAATTAATCAGTGGAACAACCTGCCTCCAGAAGTTGTGGGTGCTCCATCACTGGAGGCTTTTAAGAAGAGCAGGGGGTTAGATTGGAAGACCTCCAAGGTCTCTTCCAATTCTGTTATTCTCGGGGGGATGTTTTCTTTCCCTCTCTTTGCTTGTTGGAAACCAGCTGGGAAAGTCCCCGATGGGCATCATGTGACCCTGCTCAATATGAGGGCCTGGATTTTGATCACGTGACCTTGAGGAGGCTGCAATGGTCCTCTATCTATCTATCTATCTATCTATCTATCTATCTATCTATCTATCTCTATCTATCTATCTATCTATCTATCTATCTATCTATCTATCTATCTATCTATCTATCTATCTATCTATCTAATCTGTTTATCATCTATCTATCTATCTGTCTGTCTGTCTGTCTGTCTGTCTGTCTATCTATCTGTCTATCTATTTATCTAATCTTTCTTTTCTATCTATCTATCTATCTATCTATCTATCTATCTATCTATCTATCTACCTACCTACCTACCTACCTACCTACCTACCTACCTACCTACCTACCTATTTATCTGTTTCTATTTATCTAATTTTTTTCTATCTATCATCTATCTATATCTATCTATCAATCATATCTGTCTATCATCTATCTCAGGGCTTTTCAACCAGTGGTACGGGTACCACCTGTGGTACATTGGCACCTGGCAGGTGGTACGCGACCATCCTAGAAAAGTAGCAGGGGAGGGGAATGAGCTGAACCGGTGGCAGCACCGTACAAGCCTGAGCGAGAGACGGCTGGAGCTGCAGGGCTGTCGGGGCTCAGCGGAAGCGCCAGGATCAGTGCCGCTTTCCAGATGATTGGCGCTTCTTCGGGGCTGTCAGGGCTTAGCGGAAGCGCCAGGATCAGCGCCAGGATCCAGCTGGAGCTCAGCGCTGATCCTGGTGCTTCTGCTGAGCCCAGAAGAAGCGCCGATCAGCTGGAATGTTGCAGCCTCTCCAGGGTCTTGTGATTTACGTTCAGATGCTTGGCAACTGATTCATATTTATGACGGTCACAGTGTCCCAGGGTCATGTGAAGGGACCAAAACCTGCTGCAACCACCCAGCAGACGGGGGGGGAATAAAAACCAAACACCCCCCCACCCCACCCCCGCTGCCAATCCTCAACAGAAATGCTCACAACAGTGAAAACCTCGGACAGGAGGAAGAGTGCCGCTGGGCGGGCAGGCAGGTGTCTTGCTCAGCTGTGGCTTGTGGGGCACTTTTTTCAGTGCCGTCGTAACTTCGAACAGTCACTAAGCGAACTGTTGTGTCGAGGACTACCTGTACTTTATCACTTTTTTCCCTTTTTTTTGGGGTCATCAAGTTTTTGACACCTTGCTAGGCGACTGGTGGTACTCGGATTTTGCTGTATCCTAAAAGTGGTACAATGGGTGAAAAGGTTGAAAAGCCCTGATCTATCTATCATCTATCTATCTATCTATCTATCTATCTATCTATCTATCTATCTATCTATCTATCTATCTATCTATCTATCATCTATCTATCTATCTATCTATCTATCTATCTATCTATCTATCTATCTATCTATCTATCTATCATCATCTACCTATCATTATCTCTCTCTCTCTCTCTCTCTCTGTCTCATCTGTAGCTATCAATCACCTATCATCCCTCCCTCCCTCCTTCCCTCCCTCCCTCCCTCCCTATGTCTATCTGTCTGTCTGTCTGTCTGTCTGTCTGTCTGTCTGTCTGTCTGTCTGTCTGTCTATCTATCTATCTATCTATCTATCTATCTATCTATCAATCATGCCTGTCAGTCTGTCAGTCTGTCTGTCTATTTCAGATACGGGCACTGCGGAGGAGGTGATTCAGCTGCCAAACTACCAGGAAGACACGGAAAAGGCTTATCTGGAGAAGAAGAACAAGTATCGTAAGTAGCCACGTTTCTGCCTAGGATGCCAAAGCAGCCTTGGGGATGCAGTCCCTGGCCGGCCCATTTGAGCTTTGACGACTTCTGCTGCGAAACAGGGTTCCCTGGGTGCCCCCGCTGAGCCCCTTGAGCGAATGCTGGCCTGAGAAGAGAAAGGTATGGAGAGGGAAGCCTTGGCCCCCCTCCCACTCCCTGCCTGTTCTGCTCCCTCCACCAATTTCCCTCAATGCCCTCCCCCCCACCATCTCATCCCCCCCTCCAATTTCCAGTGATGGGCAGGCCAGAGGAGCAGAGTGGGACGGTGGGACGGTGCACAGCCTGGGGGGGGGTGTCATGCTAAGAGATACAATCCTTCCTCGGGGAGGGGGGTGCAGAATGGGGATGTAGCTTATCAGGCCAAGGATCCTGGCTTGATTGGTGTTTAATCTCAGGGGAGGAAAAAGTCGGAGTTAAAATGTGCTGAAAAATAGGCCACGGTCTGCTTTGGGAATTAATCTGAATATGGCCCACCCCCATCTATTGTCTCTCTGTCTGTCTGTCTGTCTATCTCTATCAATCTCTATAATCTATACATCTATTGCTCTCTTAGTCTGTGTCTGTCTCTCTCATTTATCTACTATACCTCATCTATTATCTATCATATCATCATAATCAACTCTCTCTCTCTCTCTCTCCTATCTATCTATCATCTATTTATCTATCATCTATCATTTATCTATCTAATTTATTTAGCCCACCTATCTCACCAAACATGATTCTGGGTGGTGTGCATCGATTAGATTAAAAAACAACTGACACGCAGGCAGGCATCCTCTCCTCTCTTTTCCCTCTCCCTCTCCCTCTCTCCTCTCCTCTCCTACCCTCTCTTCTCCTCTCCTCTCCCTCTCTTCTCCTCTCCCTCTCCCTCTCCTCTCCTACCCTCTCTTCTCCTCTCCTCTCCTCCTCTCTTCTCCTCTCCCTCTCCCTCTCCTCTCCTACCCTCTCTTCTCCTCTCCTCTTCTCCTCTCTTCTCCTTCCCTCCTCTCCCTCTCCTCCTCTCCTCTCCTCCCCTCTCCTCTCCTTCCCTCTTCTCCTCTCCCTCTCCTCTCCTCCTCTCCTCCCCTCTCCCCTTTCCTCTTCCTGTCTCCTCCCCTCCCGTCTCCACCCCTCTCCTCTCCTTCCCACTCCTCCCCTCCCCTCCTCTCCTCTCCTCCTCCCCTCCCCTCTGCTGAAGAACACACTGATTGTGCGATGTGGATGCCAGCCATCCTTTCCCACCTTTGCTTTTCCTTAGAATCCATCTTTAAGAAAGGCTCGGTAAAGTCCGCCACTCACTGGACGCTTTTTGGGAAGAACCTCTACTACATATCGATCGGTAGAAAGACCTGGTACGACGCTCAGAACTTCTGCCTCTCCAGAGATTCCCACATGGTCTCCATCTTAAATGACGAGGAACAGGTTTCATTCGTTGTTTTTTTTCCCCCCCTTTTCTGACTCACCTCTAGAGTTTCTTGAGCAGCTGCCTCAACTGTACTAAATCCCCCGGGATTTTTCATTCACGTCTCCGGGCAAATGATTTGCAAGGACTGACTCAGCCCTTCCTATCTGTGGAGAAATACGGTCAGGATGGATGCGGTCCCATCAGAACAGGCTGCCCACCTGTAATGGTGGCTTTTCTTTTCCTGGAGAAAAGGATGATGGTGAGATAGGTCTTGAGAAAGGGGTTGACCTAGCAGACTTCAACTCCCAGAATTCCTGAGCCAGCATGGCTCAGCTTGGAAACCTCTCCCTGTCCCCTCAGTGTGGCTGGCTCAGGAATTCTGGGAGTTGAAGTCCACCAGTCATAAAAGGGCCAAGGTTGCCTACCCCTGGCCTAGGCCTAGGCCACTTTACGACTTGTGGACTTCAACTCCCAGAATTCCTGAGCCAGCGAGACACAGCTTGGAAACCTCTCCCTTTCCCCTTAGCATGGCTGGCTCAGGAATTCTGGGAGTTGAAGTCCACGAGTCATAAAAGAGCTGAGGTTGCCTACCCCTGCTCTAGATGACTCTAAGATCCCTTCCAACTGAGGTTCCATATCCCTGCCTAGACACTGAAGCTCCTTCGAGGAATTTGAAGTCTTCCAAAAGTATGACCCAAGTTATCCATGGCAAATTATGGAGGCTTTTCAATTAGAAGATCAGAATGGGGAATTTAGAATTCAGAATAATACAATCCTTGGTGGTTATTATTATTATTATTATTATTATTATTATTATTATTATTATTATTATTATTATGTAAAGTTGGAAGGGACCTTGGAGGCCATCTAGTCCAACCCCCTGCTCGGGCAGGAAACCCTATACCATTTCGGACAAATGGCTGTCCAGTCCCTTCTTAAAAACTTCCAGTGTTGGAGCATTCACCGCTTCTGGAGGCAGGTTGTTCCACTGGTTAATTGTATAAAAAGGAGCATAGAATCAAAATCGCGTGAAGTGTTAGTGCCGCTTTGTAAAGCCGTAGTAAGGCCACACCTGGAATGCCGCATCCAGTTTTGGTCCCCACATTATAAAAAAGATGTTGAGACTTTGAAAAAAGTGCAGAGAAGAAGAACTAAGGTGATCTGAAGGCTTGGAGACTAAAATATACAAAGAACGGTTGCAGGATTTGGGTGTGTCTAGTCTAGAGTAAAGAAGAAATAGGGGTGACAGGATGGCAGTGTTCCAGTATTTGAGGGGCTGCCACAAAGAAGAGGAGGGGGTCCACTTATTTTCCAAAGCACCAGGAACAATTAACCAGTGGGACGGCTTGCCTCTAGATGTTGCGGATGCTCCATGACTGGAGGTTTTTAAGAAGAGATTGGACAGCCATCTGTCTGAAATGGTCTAGGGCAGGAGTAGGCAACCTTGGCTCTTTTATGGACTTCAATACCCAGAATTCCTGAGGCAGCCATGCTGAGGGGAAAGGGAGAGGTTTCCAAGCTGAGCCATGTTGGCTCAGGAATTCTGGGAGTTGAAGTCCAGGAGTCATAAAGCGGCCTAGGCCAGAGGTAGGCAACCTTGGCTCTTTTATGACTGGTAGACTTCAACTCCCAGAATTCCTGAGCCAGCAGGGCTCAGCTTGGAAACCTCTCCCTTTCCCCTCAGCATGGCTGGCTCAGGAATTCTGGGAGTTGAAGTCCACCAGTCATAAAAGAGCCAAGGTTGCCTACCCCTGGCCTAGGCCTAGGCCGCTTTATGACTCGTGGACTTCAACTCCCAGAATTCCTCAGCCAGCATGGCTAAGCATGGAAACCTCTCCCTTTCCCCTCAGCATGGCTGGCTCAGGAATTCTGGGTATTGAAGTCCACCAGTCATAAAAGAGCCAAGGTTGCCTACCCCTGGTCTAGGGTCACCTGCTTGAGCAGGGGGTTGGACTAGAAGACCTCCAAGGTCCCTTCCAGCTCTATTCTTGAATTGAAATAGTCAAAGTTTAGTACATAGGATGTTCCTACTAAAAGATCAGAAAAAGGGACAATTGCTTTCTATTAAAGCTCTCTATCTACATCGATATTCAATATGTCCTTGCTTACCAATCTTCAGCAATTGGTTGAAGAGATGTCAGTGCTGAAGAAATAACTTTATAACCAATTTACAACCGTTCACAACAAGTGCATGATCCCTCAGTCACATGATCACCATTCCAGTCAGTTTGCATTGTGTTCTGTGTCTCACACATTTTTCCTTCCATTCCCCCCCCCCCCGCCCGAGTGGAGAGATTGAAGAGGAAGAAATTAGAAAAGAGTAAGCAGACACCCAGTAAGCAGCCAGGCATGTTTGCCACGGTCACCACGAGCACATTGCTTTCAGTGTATCCAGTATTCCCATTGTGTGCCTGCTTACTCTCTTCTAATCCCTTTCTCTGCAATGAATGTATCTACAAACATTCATTCCCTTCTTGTTAATGATCCAGAACTGTCGTGAGCATTTCAAAAGGCCAGAGAGCGATTTAGGAGGCGAACGTAAGCCAAAGATGTGAAACTGACCATTACTCTTTTCAGTTTCAAGCCAAAAGGCACAATCACGGTCATGTGGTTTCCTACTTAACAACCACTTTGATCAGTGATGGAGTTGCTGGCGTCAATTGTGAACACTAAATGAGGACTATGTTACCAGTGAAGGAGCACTATGTTCTCTCATTCTTTACCTCAATCTCTTTCACAGAGACGAGAACAAAGAGAGAGAGAAAGAGAGAGAGAGAGAGAGAGAGAGGGAAATGGAGAGGGAGAGAGAGGGAGAGGGAGAGAAGGACAGAGAGCATTCTATAGAGATGATTTCAAAAAGTCCAGCTTGTTTTCTGCTGGATGTACAAATATTGATTCCTCCTCACAGCTTTCTTTGGCAGAGGAATATGAGCAGCTTATTGTTAATTTTGGGCATTTTGTCAAACGTGGCATTCCCACCCTGTGAAGCTGCTCTTTCTCTCCTTTTTTGGCAGAAATTCGTCTCTTTGCAGTTCAACGAGTCTGCCTGGATTGGTCTGAGCGATGAAAATGATGAGGGCATCTGGCAGTGGTCCGATGGGTCCAGATTAACAATACAGTGAGTCTGCAACCACACACTCCACCCCTGGGGCTTCCTGCAGCGGATCACTAAGCCTGTGTCAGGCGTGAACAACCAGGCCCACACGGGAAGGGTTCAAACGAGCTACTTCATTGTTCTATTGGAAGAGTGCGGTGGCTTATGAAGTTAGGACGCTGGGCTGGCGAGTGGCAGGCTTGCGTTTGAAACCCTGTTGCTGCCGCGATCCGGGCTGAGCTCCTGTCGCATACTCCAGCTCCTGCCAACCCAACAGTTCAAAAACGGGCGGCCGCAAGTAGATAGATGGGTACCACCTCAGTGGGCAATTTAATGGGGACATGAAAGGAGCCCGCAACTGGGCGTCCCTTGAGCAACAGTGATGTCCACCTGGAAGTGCTTCGGTGCTCTCAACACGACTGTAGTAGTAGTAATCCTTCTCTTGCCTATTTCTCAGGCAGACTGCTAAGACTAGATAAGGTTCAATGGCATTCAAGGAGGGTTGGACCTTGCCCTTTGTGTCTATGTAGGGATTCCAGACAGATCCCTCACTTGACTCCTCCTCCTGACTGACAACACAGCCTCTCGCCAACAATTTGAGGCAGACTAGATGGAGAGGAAACACAGTTTTGTGGGCTCTTTTGGTGGCACTCTTCAAGTAAGGCTGCTTGCCGTGTAAGTCAGAGCTGCAGTTTCCTACCATACGGAAAAGATTAAAATCGCAGTGCAGGTAGTCCTTGACTTAACAACACTTCATTTAGTGACGGTTTGAAGTTACAACAGGTCTGAAAAATGTGACTCATGACCGTTTTTCCACACTTACGACCGTTGCAGTATCACGTGATCAAAATACAGACGCTTGGCAACTGCTTTGTATTTATGACGGTTGCAACGTCCTGTGGTCACGTGATCCTCTTTGGTGACTTTCTGACAAGCAAAGTCAACGGGGAAGCCAGATTCATTTAACAACCCCGTGATGAAGTTAACAACTGGAGTGATTCACTTAACAACCGGGCAAGAAAAAAAAATGGGGTAAAATTTACTTAACAACTGTCTCACTTACCCATGGAAATTTTGGGATGAATTGTGAGAAGGGAATTGTGCTTGATATTATGTGCTCACGGGAGGGGAATTCATATTTTGGCATAATGTCATGGTTCCGACAAATGAAACTCTTCAAAGAACTTCGAGGCATTGTTTAACTAAAATAATATTTATTGAGTAGCATAGCATCGGCGCTAACAATAATCAAAGGCAAAGTCTGAATTCCCCTCCACTGAGAACATAGTATCAAAGCACAATCCCCTCCTCTAATTAACAGTCATAAATCACATTCCCCAATTAGTTTGAAATGCAGGCTTTCCCTCCTGTTCTCCAACCCCCCATTTCTTATCATCTCTTATTTCAAAAAACCTTGGTTCTCACACTGGTATAATATTGTTATGTCTAAGTAACTCTCATACACATTCCTTCCCCCCCCGCCCAGTATCATCTAATTCTAACTCTAATTCTAAGAGTAACACATAAGAAGGAAAATGGCTGCATCTCCAAATGTTGTCAAAGCAAGAACATCCAATGTTAGCAGCGTTGACATCCCCATTTGTGCAAGCGGCGGGCTTTACACCGGCATGCAAGTGCCTGCCGCTCATGCAAATGGAGCTGCACATGCGCGCTTGCCCATCACTTTTGTGGCCCGGTTCTAAGCTTAAGATACAGAAGGATCTGGACAGACTTGAACACTGGGCGCTATCTAACAAAATGAAATTCAATGGTGAAAAAAGTAAGGTTCTACATTTAGGCAAGAAAAACCAAATGCACAGGTATAGTATAGGCGGTACCTTGCTCAATAGTAGTAACTGTGAGAGGGACCTCGGAGTCCTAGTGGACAATCCCATAGATATGAGCCAGCCGTGTGCTGCAGCTGCCAAAAAGGCCAACATAGTGCTAGGCTGCATTAACGGAGGGATAGTATCAAGATCACGTGAAGTGTTAATACCACTTTACAAGGCCTTGGTAAGGCCACACTTGGAATACTGCATCCAGTTTTGGTCACTGCGATGTAAAAAAGATGCTGAGACTCTAGAAAGAGTACAGAGAAGAGCAACAAAGATGATTAGGGGACTGGAGGATAAAGCATATAAGGAACGGTTGCTGGAATTGGGTATGTCGAGTCTAATGAAGGACGACGGGGGACACGATAGCAGTCTTCCAATATCTCGGGCTGCCCCAAAGAAGAGGGAGTCAAGCTCTTCTCCAAGGCGCCTGAAGGCAGGACAAGAAGCAACGGATGGAAACTCATCAAGGAGAGAAGCAACCTAGAACTAAGGAGACAACAATTAACCAGTGGAACTACCTGCCTCCAGAAGCGGTGAATGCTCCAACACTGGAGGTTTTTAAGAAGAGACTGGACAGCCATTTGTCCAAAATGGTATAGGGTTTCCTGCCTGAGCAGGGGGTTGGACTAGATGACCTCCGAGGTGCCTTCCAACTTTATTATTATTATTATTATTATTATTATTATTATTATTATTATTATTATTATTATTATTATTATTATTAACCTCCAAGGTCCCTTCCAACTTTACTACTACTACTACTACTACTACTACTACTACTACTACTATTATTATTATTATTATTATTATTATTATTATTATTATTATTATTATTATTATTATTATTATTATTATGCGGGTCGTAGCCCCGGGGGGGTTGAGGACTCCTGTTCTACCCTCTGCGTTAGACTTCTCCTTTGGGTGAGGCTAGGTCTTTCAATCACCTTCCTTTCTCCTAGGTTCTGGGATGTTGGGAGTCCTACCATCCTGAAGAAGAATGGAGAAATGGAGCGAGACTGCGCTTACATAAACCCTTCCTCTGGCGTATTTAACTGGAAGGATGACAATTGCCACGCACTTAAGCAATGGGTTTGTAAGGAGATCATAGTGATGGAAGATTTAGAATATTTAATCCAACCCTAATACTTGAAGCCACCCTAGATGTGAACACAGTTTTTGTTTTTCTCCATCTGAAACAGTAAAATAATGAAAGCTCTCTTCTTGTCCTTGCCTCCTGGAAGAAACGAACGGCCACAAGGTTGACGTCCTATATAAGGTCTGCAGCCAAGGCCGGACCTCATTCAACCACCTCCGAAGCATCACGCAATGTTTTCAAGACACGCTGCCCAAAGCAACCTGAACTGGTCCCGATTCATAGCACAAACGGGCTGTGCGCCGGGTTCCTCCAGACAGACTGAAATGCGATTGACTAACTTATGGGTCACAGGTGGACCTAACCCTAATGTATTCATTTCATGCTGAGCATCATCTTGATGTGAGCCCAAGCTTTCCCGTCCCAGGCATTAGACAAAAGGATGTACCTTGTGTGCATTGTGGTAGGCCTCTAGGCATCCGGGTGTCATGTTCTGGGCATCACTTGGACCTTCTCATCTCCAATCATCTGCAGAAGGAAGGTCTTCTCCTTCAAGAGACCGTGTTTGAGACATCCCAGTACACAAACTGGAGCACTTTCCATCCTGCTAAGCATGCCAGGGTCTACACCAGGGGTGCCCAACCCCCAGTCCATGGACCAGTACCGGGCCGTGGCATGCCAGCAACCGGGCCACACAAACAAGCAAAGCCCCATCCGTGGGATGCAGGCAGCACACAAAACCATGCCCTCTTTGATCTGTGGAAAAACCTCTCTCCACAGAACTCGTCCCTGGTGCCCAAAAGGTTGGGGATCTCTCTCTACATCAGACATGTCAAACTTGCGACATCACGTGGCGTCGCGCAACGTATCGGGACTATTTTGCCGTTGCCAGCAATGCGGTGGGCGTGGCTTCTGTGTGACGTGTCTGGCCTGCGGGCCGGCAGTTTGGCACCCCTGCTCTACACAATCCTTTGATGTTATCTTCTCAGCAAAAAAGGGGGAGGGGAGCCAAAGGTGTCCCACCATGGTCTATGCCCTTGGTGTTTAGGCTCTGGACTGCTGGTTCTGTTGGAACCTGATGTTAGGTGATGAAAAGGCAGGTAGGAGAGAATGGCGGAGAGAATGGGAGATGGCCTAGACCAGAGGTAGGCAACCTTGGCTCTTTTATGACTCGTGGACTTCAACTCCCAGAATTCCTGAGCCAGCATGGCTCAGCTTGGAAACCTCTCCCTTTCCCCTCAGCATGGCTGGCTCAGGAATTCTGGGAGTTGAAGTCCACAAGTCATGAAGGGGCCATAGTTCCCCCATGCTGGCTCAGAAATTCTGGGAGTTGAAGTCCACAAGTCATGAAGGGGCCATAGTTCCCCCATGCTGGCTCAGAAATTCTGGGAGTTGAAGTCCACCAGTCATAAAAGAGCCAAAGTTGACTACCCCTGCAGTAGACAGTCAAGCTCCTGAGAAGTCTCCTTCCTTTCATTGAGTCAGCCAACCCCTTGGTTCACTGGAGAGCTGAGGACAATAAGGGACATCCAGTGGGGCACACCTGGAGGGCCTCTGGAAGAGTCATGCCCAGCATGGAATGGAGGCCCTCTTGAAGGCCCGCGTGGGATCCTGTTTGGTATCCGTGGAGGGAACAAAAAGTCACTCTGGCTTTTCCATACAAGCTAGAGAACCTGGAAGCACCTTCGGTTGTCTTGAGCCAAATGCATCTTGACTTGAACTTTGTCTCCAGCTGAAAGTGGCAATCTGTTCCCTCCCCCTTTTTCATCCCAACAAACCATCCCTATGAGGTGGGCTGGGTTGAGAGAGAAAGGGAGGAGGGATCGGCCCAAATTCACCCAGCTGGTTTCTGTGCGAGAGTGGATGGGATCTCACATTTTCCCACTTTTTGTTCGGAGCCTAAACAAAGAGGTCTCCAACTTTTCCAGCTTTGCGGATCAGCAGGGAGGGGACATGGTTTGTGCAAGTGGCAGGTGTGTGCATTCGTGCATGCAGTTCCATTTGTGCAAGTGGCAGGCACGCACATGTGTGCATGAAACTCCATTTAGCCCCTGCTGCTCGCACAAATGGAACTTCACGCACACGCAAGAGTGCCCATCGCTCGCACACATGGAATGTGCGCGCTCGCCTGCCGCTTCTGTGGCCTGGTTCCGAACCAGCCACAGCCCAGTATCAAGCCATGGTCCAAGGGTTGGGGACCCCTGGCCTTAAACCACTGCCACAACTGGCTCCGTTCTTACTTTTGTGGCACTTGAGAAGGTGAATGGGTTTAGCAAGGGATGAGGGATATTCCCCCCTTGTTCTTCCTGGCCAGTTATATTGGTCATGATGGTTAAGGCAGGTGACCAATCATTTACCATTGGTGAGAAGTCAATTTCACTACCTATAGGAAGCAATGGATTTTATAACTATTGAAGAAAGAGCATTTTCTGACTGTTTTAATTCTTCCTGGGTGGTGCGGAGTAGGGAAGGGACATGTTGGCTGTATTCCCATTTCTGGAGCATCCCCAAAGCTCACTTGACATTGCCTTTATCTCCCACCCACCTGAGGTTTAAGTTCTGGTATTTAACCTTTCCTTTCCTTTCCTTTTCCTTCCTTCCTTCCTTCCTTCCAAAATTTTTGCCACCTGTGTCACATCCAATGAAAAAAACTTAAAACCACCCATTATAAAAACACAGCAAATAAAAACATTAACAAACAAAATCAGGAAACAAGATGGGAAAGAAAGGAGCCAGAAGCAAAGAGAAGGGGGGGGGAGGAAGGTGGCGTTGAATTTTAATTAGTTAACTACCTCCACTATGAAGCTCCCCCACTGGGTCTGCTTCTTAAGAGTATCAGCGACCTAGCCAGTGTTTGTATTTGTATAAACCACTAGTCGCACCTTATTTGGTGAATCTGATAAGGCAAGAATGCGCTTTGCGGATTGGACTCTGTACGACAGGGGTGTCAAACTGCCGGCCCAGGGACCGGATGCATCGTGCCGAAACCACACCCACCCCAGCTCTGGCAATGGAGAAAAAGTCATGTCGCGACACATCACGTGACGTGGCGATTTTGACACCCCTGCTGTACGAGGATGCAGGTTCGTCCTCCGAGCTTGTGGGTTGGTTCCTGAACGTTTTGTTACCAGGCTAGGTAACATCTTCAGGGAGGTGGGTCTTGTGATGGGGAGATCACGCCAGGTGAGGGTCATTGGGATGTGAAGTGCTGGTGCGGGGCCGGTGCCGTCGCTGGTTGGCTGTGCGGTTGATTTGAATTCTGAAAGGGTTTGTAGGCTGGTTGAAGGTCAAAGTGTGGATGGAATCTGTCCCTGTTTTGCGCACAGGCCTCCTGGGGGAGGGGGGCTCGGCCCACTATCCTCAACCTGTAAAAGGCACACATCCACACAGCACCAGATTTGGGGTGGTGACCCTGGCCGTTGGCCTGAGAAAGGCCCCCCTCCCTGCCAGAGCTAATTTGGTTGCCCACCAGCACAGACTGCTTCTTGGGGCAATAGAGACCACCACACCAGAGGGGCTCTGATGACTTTCTGTTGGGAAATGCCCAGCCAGACAAGGAAGGGGGGGATCAAGTGAGGAGCTAGCCTAGAGTCCTCGCACAGTCACAAGAGACTTCAGACCAATCATCCCGAGGTTCCATGGAAACTTGTCTGTTTGTTCTCAAGGGAAGGCAGATACTCTGGGGAGATTCCTGTACTATAGGTGGAACACAATGAAGCGGTCAACTGGATCCTGCCACGTGTGGATCTGGTTACTTGTGCCTGACCAGTTTTCTTTTGATGGGACGCCTTCGCCCATGCCAGCGGAGCCATGAGCAAAGCGGTGGCCTCTTCTCAGAAGAGGTCCAGGGGCCATTTCTCAGGGCAAGGCCCCCGTGATGTCACAATGCCCCTTCCCCTTGCGGCTACAGGTGTGCTGGTGGCTGTGGATCTGGCGAGGGGCCCCAGTAGCCAACTAGCAGGTGGTTTGAGCCGTGGAGGATGAGGAAAAGGAGACCGGTGCTAAAAGTGGCATCAGAGGGCAAGGAGGAAACAGGAGGAGGAACCTTGTAGGAGTGGAAAACAGGCTCAGAAGATGAGGAAGAGAATGCCTTGAGTGGGATCCAGACTCTCCTAAAAGGGGTCCCAAACAAAAGGTATGTTATGGATGGCCCTCTGTCAGGGATACAGAGGAGTGGACCCCTGGGCTGGGCAGAGGGTTGGACTACATCAGGGGTGTCAAACTGCCGGCCCGCGGGCTGGACGTGTGACATGAAAGCCGCACCCACCCCATTGCCGGCAATGGCAAAACCGGCCCGATACGTTGTGCGACGTCACGTGACATCGCGAGTTTGACATGCCTGTACTACATGATCTCCGTGGCCCCTCTCCCCACCACCTTGCCATTCTGAGTCAACCCAGATTCATCTCTGATGTTGACCCCTGAAGGCGTTTCTTAAACATTCCCAAAGCATTATCAAGACCCTGAAGACCTCCTGCTTGCGAATGTTGTGTTTGTGTTTTCTTGGAGGTGTTGCCACACCAAAATTCACCCCCCATCACCCCCGCAAGTCCTCCTGCCTGCAGAGGACCAAATGCAGGAGGAGCCTGACTATCCATCCATCCATTGCTTCATTTATCTATTAAACAAATGTATATGGCCGTCCGACTCACACACGGGTGATTCCGGGCGAAATGTTCCTCGGACTGGCGGCTGCTTTAGCTCTGGGCGATGATGGCTGCCGGGTCTCTTCACCGCGTTCCTCNTCTGCTCGCCTCCTTGGCCACTGTCTGCCTTGTGGTCCTGACGGTGGTCAGCTACCTGTGTAAGTCCTTCTTGACCCACTGACCTGTCCTTCTGCCTTTCGTTGGCCATAGGCTGGTGGAAGGTGGGAGGGGGCCCCACCCGCACCCGTCTCGTGCACAATTCATGGGACGTGTGGCCAGAAAATTGGGGGAGGGTGAATGGGGAGCTTTGTTCAATAGGGGGTGGCTTGTCTCAGCCCCATCAGCCCAAGTCTCCAGAGGTGTGGAAGATGAGCATTGACCTGCGACTGACCACTGAGACACCAGCCTCCTTCCAGGTTTGGTCGCTGGGTGAGACCACCTTGGCCCAATTCCCACCCACCCCCAACACAGAGAGGA